TGAGTTTGTCTCTTAAAAATATTGGAAATAAAACTCCTGCCTTTGGAGGGGAAAAAACCCACAAACTTGAGAGTAGTGGATGGTCTTAATGTACAAGAGGTCATGAGTTCACATGCCAGATAAGCTCTTCAACTTGCCTGTAAAGGGGAAGCTACTTGAACTGCTTGTCCCTGGTGCGCATGCTTTGCTTGTATGATCCAATAAAAGGAAAACATAAGGAACTATATGAAAATCCAGATAACTGAAGGGAAGGCAGAGGGATAAAGGAGAAGCAACGCAGCAATGATAAGCTGATGGATAAGTATAAACAACTTTGGATGTGAAAGGAGCAGAGGAACTGTCAGAATAAAGTGATTGCGTGAACTGTTTTGCTTCTCAGGAAATCAGTGGTTGACTGCATTCCTCTCTAATTACTCCTGGCTTGGGATTAGCTGCATTTTATTGATCTAAAGACTGTTACAATTTGGCCAGACAATCAGATGCTGCATTGCTCGGTAGTTGATGCATTTCTTGCAAATCAAGAGGCATGTAACTTGCAAGATGATCCTGAGAAATACTCCATAGCTTGTGTCACATTAGAAAAGCACTGTATAAACCAGGCTGAGTCTCAGGGGGGCAGATGATAAGAGATGTGGCACAGAAGTAGTTTTAAAAAATCCTTCTTCCCTCTCTCCTAGATTCTAACCTGCTCCTTAACCACCAAGAAAAGTCCTGCTCTCATGCTCTCCAGCACTCGGCATTTCCTGGGACATAAGGTTGCTGAGGTGCAAAACCAGGGAGAACTTTACAAACTCTCTACATTTGAGAGATACAGACTTGTTGGAGTGAGTCCAGAGGAGGGCTGTAAAGATGATCCGAGGGCTGGAACACCTCTCCTATGAGGAAACGCTGAGAGAGTTGGGGTTGATCAGCTTGCAGAAGAGAAGGCCCCAGGCAGACCTTCTAGCAGCCTATCAATACTTAAAGAGGGCCTATGAAAAAGATAAGGACAAACCTTTTAGGAAGACAAATTTTTTGTGATAGGACAAGGGACAATGGTTTTAAACTGAAAGAGGGTAGATTCAGACTAGATGTAAGGAAGAAATTGTTTACAATGAGGATGATGGAACACTGGAACAGATTGCCCAGAGAGGTGGTAGATGCCTCATCCCTAGAAACATTCAAGGTCAGGCTGGATGGTGCTCTGAGCAACCTGATCTAGTTGAAGACGTCCCTGCTCATTGCAGGGCAGTTGGACTAGATGACCTTTAAAGATCCCTTCCAACCCAAACTATTCTATGATTTTATGGTTAGGAATAACCAGTGCAAGGGCAGTGAGTGTGCATGTGTGCATGAGTGCATGCCTCATGAAGGACAAGACTAGTCTTGTTCCAGCTGTTTGAACAGCATAAAGCAAGCAGGCATGTGTTGGTAACAACAGCAATGACTACAAAGAAATTTGTCATTGGCACAGTTAGTGGGGAAAGCCATGCAAGAGTCCAGGTGAGGACCCAAGATCCATCTAACCTTAACTGAATCAGTATGGGTTTTATCACCAGGGCCTCATACTTTCAAGGATGACTTAAAAGCTACTAAAAAAACTTCCACTGCTGATGCTTGCTCACAGTTAACTTTATTTTGGGCTCCATTGGCTGAAACAAGTATTTTGATGTCTACATGTAGACATCAAATTTAGGAGTCTTCACCTGGAGCTGAATTCCGTTCCGTGTGTGTGTCAGAAATTGCCAAACTGGAGGTTGCCTCGTCCTCCAGCAAAGGAGGATGTTGGGCCAAATGCGCTCAGATTTGGCCTTCTGCCTTATTTTTTCTCAAGAAAGAGGTGTTTCCTACCCCACGGCTATAGAACAGTTGTGGCGTAAGCACTACTCTGGTATCTCTAAGAGAGACACAGACACTGAGCTAAGCTTGGTCCCACAGTCCAGGCAGCTGAACGTCTGCACGATTGTCCTTATGACCTGTTTGCACAATCCCGTTACATACACGATTTAACATATGTGAAACCGCCACCCTCAGGCTCCGTATGCTTGAGGGAATCGCCACACAATATCTAGCACAAGCAGGCTCATAGGCTGCTTTTATGAGGCAGAAATGCTACGAGACAAAATTAAATACTTCATTAGTACTTCAGACCCAAACCCAAACTCCAGATCACAAAATTATTCTTCCCCACCACCACTATGTTTCAGGGAATGCTGCATCCAAACCTAACTGTATTTACATCTTTCTATCTCCCAGGCTGGCTCGCTCTAAAAGAAACCTCCCTTCTAACGTGTGCCTCACAAATTATTCGTCCTTTCCTGCACCAAGACATTGCATACCTGTTGGGGCAGTGGTTACAATGAGGTACACTGAGAACATCACAAGATGGGGTCCTTTGATTTTAGAAGTCTGCAGACCCTTTCTCTTCCCATTGCCTTTAGCTGTTAAAAAGTTGGTAGTTTAAGAAAAACAACTCTAGGAAAAAAAAAATTTTGAATCACATAAAGTTTATTTACTTAGTAAAGTTATATACAATATATACAGTTTCTATTTACATATATACCTTTCTAAGAAACGAAGCACCATATGATACAGTTAGTATTTTAGAGGAATTTACAGAAATTTTACCTTTGCATCCAAATAGTTTGATCTACAGACACACATTGGTTAGACTCAAGTTCTCCTAAGACACTGACTTCAGTGGGTTTTGGATTAGACTGCTAGTGAAGCTACCACAGAGAAATTTAATCGCTGTCAGCTATCAGTCTGCTATGCCCCAGGATATGAGATTTAGCTATGTCATTTCTGAGGCTATGTGCAAACCTGATCCTCAGAAAAAGTCACAGGTACAGATAGACGGTATTTTATAAGACACAAGAATGCAATGCTTTCATCAGTAAGATTTTTACTGTCATCAGAAACAGTTTCACTAGAATGGAAAAAGAACACCGCTGAAGTGCTTATACGCATTATGCAAAGTGAAGTTAAGAACTGGAAGCTTATGTGATATGGTATCATGCATTCCCCAAGGAATCCATTTACTCTTAAAGAGCTTGTGGCATGAACCCCTTAAATCAAGGAGAAAGCCCAGCCGTTCGCTTTGTAATCTTTATGCCATCGTCAAGAAAAAGAGAAGGCTCTGTCCAAGGTACAAAATTTCTTTCAAGTGAATAAGAGACATTTGGAGGGGGAAAATGTAAAATGAGGTATTTAATAAACTACAGGGGAAAAAAAAAGCGCCTAGACTGTTTTGAAAAAACACCTTAGATATTTTACATATGCAATTGTTACATTCACCTGATTGTGGGTCAAGTTTTGTATAAACTATTTATACTTTTTGCATTACCTAATTTACACTTTTCACATTTTTGCTTCACTAGACGTCAGATCTAAGCGCTGGAAGAAAGCATTGTTACTCTGAGGACAGTTATTATGACAGACACAGGTGTTGATCAGCATCATTGGCTTTTTTAGGACTTTGCCCTGCGGGCAGCGGAACTCCACTTGAATGGTTTTGGTGTTGTGCGGGGTGCAGCACCGCCCGTCACTGCAGAGGCCGCAGTAACGAGGTCTGTACGTCTGCACACTAGTGCAGTTCTTGTACTCAAAGCGAACAGCTTTCAGGGACTTCTTTGTTCGGATACACTTCTTCCCTTTCTAACAGAAAGATGAAGAGCCATTAGATATACCATTGCAAAAGACAGAAAGCAGCTAAAAATTGACACGCAAGGATACAGGTCTACTCTGAAAAAGTAAATTTGCCATCTTTGCTTGTTCTGCACCAGTAAGACTCTGCAGCTGCTTCAATAGTTACTTACAGGTAAGTCCTGCGAGATCTGCCTTTTGACACCAGTGTTTTATTAGGTCAGTAATAAATGACAAATAATTAAAGCCCACTTTTGTCACCTGAGACAAGCCAAACCAACATTGATTATGAAACTATACTGTAGTGGAAAACTTCACAGGCTAATGTAGTTCTGTTAGAGAATCAGGAAGACAAAAGAAAAAGTTAGAGGACAAAATTCAGAAAAAAAAAAAAAAGAGGGCTAAAGTGAACCTTAAAAGTCATTGCTCTTTCTTGTGACACAAGGCTTTATCCGTGTTATTCTTAACAGATGGTTTTCTAACTTGTCCTTGGAAGTCTTCAGTGACAGAGATTCTGCATCTGCCCCAGACAATCCTAATGGTTCATCATTCTTATCACTTGGAAGGTTTTCACTCATGTCTTAATTTTTGTGCAGTCTAAACAAACCATTTCTTGTTGTATCCCCTGTGGACTCACAACAAGCTGCAACACCTGAACACAGTTATGAGAACACTTATCTGTTCTCTTGCATTCAGAAAAAGTTCAGTTCAATCAACTTTTCCACAGAAGAACATGTTTTCTACAACTCTGATCGTTCTTGGTACTCTCTTCAACTCTTCCCAAACGTTTCATATCCTTTTCAAAACACAGTATTTAAAACTGCACAGAGTATTCAGCAAAGGCTCTAGCAATGCTTTCCAATGCTCAGAACGTTACATAAAGTGATGGTCCCCTTACCTACCAACGTGTTATTCTCCCTGACAGTAACATTTGTGTAATGTGTAGAAGCAGTAAAAAAGTCAGCTCCCTTAGATACTTGTTTATTATATGTGAAGTGTCAGTGTTGGATTTGCTTTTCGAAAAAGCATCATAAGAATTAAGATAAGGTTTAATTTACCAAAGCAGGTTTTGCAGGATTTCACACATTTCTCTGCAGTTCCAGATGCTCAGCAGACTAGAAACCTGACATATCTGTTCCGCATGATTGGAGCAACTCTGAATTATACACACAGGTTGTACAATTGCATTTGTGTGAGAAGTTAGACTGCGTGAGCTGTCAGAACAGTCTGCACGTGCAACGCATCTGATCAGTTTGAGACGAATCATAGAATGGTTTGGGTTGGAAGGGATCTTTAAAGGTCATCTAGCCCAACTCTCCTGCAATGAGCAGGGACATCTTCAACTAGATCAGGTTGCTCGGAACACCATCCAACCTGACCTTGAATGTTTCTAGGGATGGAGCATCCACCACCTTTCTGGGCAACCTGTTCCAGTGTTCCATCACCCTCATTGTAAACAATTTCTTCCTTACATCTAGTCTGAATCTACCCTCTTTAAGTTTAAAAACATTGTCCCTCGTCCTGTTGCAACAGGCCCTCCTAAAAAGTCTGTCCCCATCTTTCTTACAGGCCCCTTTTAAGTACTGAAAGACTGCAATAAGCTCTCCTCGGACCCTTCTCTTCTCCAGGCTAAGAAGAGATCAACCTGATCAGATTCTCCTCATCAACCCCAACTTTCTCAGCCTGTCTTCATAGGATAGGTGTTCCAGCCCTCTGATCATCTTCACGGCCCTCCTCTGGACTGACTCCAATAGCTCCACGTCCTTCTTATGTTGGGGACCCCAGAGCTGAATGCAGTACTGCAGGTGGGGTCTCCCCAGAGCGGAGCAGAGGGAGAGCATCACCTCCCTCGATCTGCTGGATGTGCAGCACAAAGCCACTGAGCAAACAGGGCAAGTCTAATGCTTACCAAAAACACTGGCATCTGGAGCATTCTAGACCATAATATTGCAACCTTGGAGTTACAGCTGAAGAAACCCTGCTCCTCCGTCACTCCCTGCAGCATACCTTATCAGATGGCTCTTCATTTTCACAAGGTCTCATCATGCAAAGCCGTGTCTGCTTCACCATCTCACACTGTTGATTTCTGTTGGTAACGCGGCTGGAAAAGCCCATTCCACAGCTTTTGGAACAAGCACTCCATTCTGTTGTCTGCTCAATACAGTTGGCACTTGAATCCGACACATCGATACCGAGTGTGGCCTCTTGTCTGTAGGCTGGAGACAAAACCCCACAGAACTTTATTACAAGAGAGACTCATGTGAAAACCCAGTATCTAATTAAACTCTACCACATCTGGGAAGAAACACGTGAGACAATAAAAAGGTCCAAAATCCATGGCTTTGACTGGATTTAGGAATTTTAAAAGCTGCCTTTTTAGGACCTCTGGATGGCAACTTCCTACATCTAAAAAATAACAGAAAGGTGTGTATCAGTGTAATCAGCAAAGCGTTTAGATTCAGTTCACCCAAGTCCACAGCTGGAAGAATCACTGTCAATTTTTTAATCAGTTTAGAACTCTACTTTAGTAACTCTTTACTCCTCATTCTTTCCAAGGGAAATACATCTCAAACCTGTTCTAAAGCTACATCATAAAAATATTTACATTAGATACATTTTGTGAGAGTCTGATTTATCTAAACTAATAAACAGCAGGGAAGTAGAGTCCTTTACTCCAAGAGTCATAACGTCACCTGACCTTGTCAATTATTGACAGATTATAGCCAGGGTGATGGTGGGGAGGGAGGGAGGAAGGAAGTAATTTCCAGGAGTTATCACAGCTTCTCAAAGCCATAGCCAGCTCTGATCACTGTCCTGCCCTCACGGCAGCGTTAAGCTGTACTATGCAAATATTGCTAACTGTATAGTCTGGTTCAGTGGTTATCACAGGAGCAAACAGAATGAGGCAACATGACTGAGCTGTCAGTCACAGCTCTTGCTGTTAAGCCCCTCTACAAGAACATTTTTCCCTTTTGCACAGTAAAGCTCCAAAAAGGCGGCCTCCCAAGAGGGATGGCCATTGTTAGAAAGAATGCAGATAATCCATCTGTAGGCCTTTTGTGGATTAGCCTGTCACTGTCAAACAAATCAAAGAAAACGAAAAATAGCAGAAAGGTGGCAAGCTTTTTGCTTATACCTATGTGCCTTACAAGTGACACTTCGTAACACTTCGAAAAGTTACTAGAGCCTTTCTTCCTGGATCCTTCCTTACTTGTTTTTCAAATGGATTAGCTGAGTTTCAGCATAACTAACTGCTTAAGACCACAAAGAAGTCTTAAGACTGGAAGAGAATGCAGTGCCCTCAACTCTCAGTAAAAGTAGCTTATGAAAACTCATATTCAACTAATAAGTCTAATTTAACAGGGATGGACACATCATTCAGTCAGAAAACGGGAAAATATTATGTAGCTTTATTTTTTCAATTACAAAAGCACTTTATGAGTTCTGCGTTTTGGAATGGGATTTTTTTTCAGATCCCCTCACTATGTTTATAACCACTACTTCTCCAAGTACTTTGTAATGCTTTTGATGCCAACGATAACGACGAGAGCTCTAGCACAGACAGGCAGGAATTTGTTGGCATTTTAGCTACCACGCTGACCACTTGTAACAGCTGGGGGATTTAGGGGGAAAGAAGTCTCTTGTAGACTAAAATGTTAGAATAGTATTTATGATGTAACATACTCTTGCAGAGCAACTAGCAAGACTGCAGCTTTGACTTTGTGGGGTGAAAATGTTTGGAGAATGATGAGCTTGCCCCTGTTTTATTCTACTCACAGAACTACCCTCTACCAGATGAACAGCAATTTCAGAATTGGGAACTAACTCAAGTTAACCACGTTTGCAAAACTGCTATACACATTCATCCTCTGAATATGTTTTCTTTTACCTATCGAGTTCTGCCTTTATCCATAACCACCAGTATATTCACTGGCGACACGAGATGAGAAAAAACATCAGAAAAAAACGATCACACAAAGTAACGTGTCTTAGATTTGGCAACCCCACGGATATTTCCAGTTTGATCTCACCTCCTCCTCACAATG